CTTTGAGAATTAAGAATGTTCTTAATAAATGTAACACATTCTTTGAGAATTAAGAAAACAGGTTTCAAAATAGACTGAAAATAGAAAATAGCATCATCTCTATGATTTTCCAATAGATCGTAGTTGATAAGATTTCTGTATGAGAAGATGTACGTTCTGAGAAGATGGCTATTCCATATCCATCAGAGTTCAGGGCGTATTCTATATAATTATTCCCGATACTCGAAGAGTAAATAGGGTATATTGTATTTGTGCGAATAACGGTTGTATGTAACGCACAGAAGGAAACGTTTCCGACCCCATAAAGTATATATATTTCTGTTCAGCATCAATAGCCGAGTCTATGTCTGTCTATCCGTCTTGTTGAGCGCCTGGATCTCAGAGACTATAAAAGCTAGAGCCACCAAACGTTGCATCCAGACTTCTGTACGCTCAAGTGTATTTAAAAAATGAGCACCGCCCCTTCCATAAAATGTAAAATTTGACAAAAAAACCGATAAGGTAGAGATGTTGTACTGAGTACCGGGTATAAAAGTTGTGACGCGTAAGAAGCGTCTCACACGTCCCTTCTCGTTTGCATTGCTTTTGTGACTTAAAACCTGAGGCTGTATGTCATAAGCACAATTATAGAACTGCCTAATAGCGGGAATATAAATGGACACCTTTAGCGAACATACATATGTCATAAAATTTAACGGAAGATGGAATCTCGGTGCCTGCAAAAGCAATTTTAACTGTCTCGGTTGGGACGAGCACTGATTCCTTGGTTTTGTTCTGTGTTTCTCTATAGATTCGTTCAGCTGTGTTTATCTTTATTATTGAGGTAAGATTGTCAAAGAGTTTCATGCCTGAGATATTTGTAGGTAAACCGTTAATGACACCGACGGACTCAGTGACGAGCTCAGTGCTCGTTTGCTTGTCGACGCGGAAGGTAGGTTGCAAACGAATTTTATTTTCAAATTTGTTCAAAATGTTTATTCTTTCAAAACACTGACTACTATCATGAAGCAAACTATTAAAATCAAATTATGTAACAATTATTATGTTTTTTCACATTGCTTTCAAATGATTAATCAGCACACTCCATTGTCGTTGCCCTCACACATACAGCGAGAGCCCTTTCACTTGAACTCTTCACTCGCCCGAATTTCTTAGTATTTCCGACGAAACCTCCTTGTAGTTTCTTCATGGTCCAGCCTGCACATATCGGCCGATGCTCCTCCGTATCAGCCAGCAGCTGTCAGGTAGCCAATAACAGCAAGATCGCGAAGGGGATAAGGTGACGCAAAGTTCCAAATTTCTAGGCTTGGCAAGTTTGCACAAGGGGCAGTGGGAAAAGGTCACGGATCCGACCACTCTCCAATCGCCCGCTCAGGCGGTGTCCCGGTGAACGGGAAGTCGGGGACCGGGGAGGGGCGGTATATCCCCCATCGTGAAGCCAAGGGGAAATCCGTGGCCACTTAGCGCATTCTTGAAGTGAAATAAGCTCATCCGATCACCGGCACCCCAGTCAACGCCAGTAGCAGATCAGTGTTCTGAAGTAGACCCCAGGGAGACCCCCAAAAGGGTTCGGGACCCCGCAAGCCCGGCGAGCTCGCATAGATCGACGCCGCCCAAAAAGTGTAAGTGTAATCCGGATGATGGACAAGAGCACGTTCGTGCGCATGAAGGAGTTGCACTCGATCATCCATCGAAGGATAAGCTAGCCAGTCGTGTCGAATGGCCGGTAGGGGAACAGGTTTCCACAACGACGACGTCGACGCATAACGTCCCCAGAAAAAATGTGAGCCTCGACAAGCCGGACAGCGGGTGGAGAGTAGTGGCCAAGAAGGCGAGATCCGCTATCTCGACTCCCTCGGGACAGAGCGCGAGATCTGCACCGCCATAGCGAGCCAGTTCGAGATCGAGGAGGGACGAGTCAGAGTGCGAAGTCTGCGACGCGGCTACGCGGTGTTCCAAACGGCGGTGGTCAGCTTGCCCTTTTCTCTGGGCAAAGCAGTCATGCAGCGGGGACAGGGCTGCGCAAGACCTCCTGCAACAGACGGTGCGGGAACAGGGATCGGAGGTGGCAATCCTCAGCGAACCCTACAGGGTTCCCAACTGCAGCGATTGGGCCATACATCGCTCGGGCAGAGCCTCGGGCAGACTTTCGGTGTGGAGACGCCCCAGATCTGCGACACAAAGTCGGCAGATGGGTTCGTCCAAGGCAAAGTAGGCAAAGTACGTGGGTCTACAGCTGCTACCTGGCGCCCAGCCTCCCGCTGGAGACCTTCAGCCGAATCATGGACGAGCTGACCGTCTTAGTCGGGGGCGACTTCAATGCCTGTGCCCAGGAGTGGGGGTCCTCCCGAACTAACGCTAGAGGACGCACGGTGCTGGGGGCCTTCGCCACCTTGGACATGGTGCTGCTCGACCAAACAGACGTTCATCAGGGGAGGCATGAGGTCGGTCATTGACCTCACATACGCCAGCAGCGCGTTGGCCAGAAGCTCCAGTTAGAGAATCAGCGACGCCTACACCGCTAGCGACCACGAGGCCATCGAGTGCGTTTTTGGCATGCAGTAGCGAGGAAGAGCAGCTCCTACTCAGCACAGGAAGGCGTATCTCCAGGTCACGCTGAGGATACAGGCCTTTGCACGCGCACTCCCGACCTACATGGCATTAGAGTCGGACGGAGCCAACGAGCGGGCGACCCAGCTGGTTAACGCAGTGGAAGCGGCCTGCGACCTGAGCATGCTCCAGTGAAGTGCGTTTGGGAAGCACCACGCCCCAGTCTTCTGGTGGAGCTAGGACATCGCCGAGCTCCACAAAATCTGCCACCGCCCGAGAAGGCAGCTCCAACGAGCCAGGGGAACTCCGCGACTATTATCTGCTGCGAGGAATACATAGTCGCTCGGAAGGAGGACCGCCAACAGGGACAGCAAGAGAGAATGCTTCCTCAAGCATTTCGACGCCGCCGAGGAGGACCCTTGGGGAGGCACCTACAAAATGGTGGTCAAGAGCATCAACGCCATCTCAAAGGTGGTAAACAGTGCAGAGGAACCCTCCGCTGGTTTAAGATGGAAAGGAGGGTCGAAATCCTACTGTCTCGTGGTGGACCGAACGCTGGAGGCCCTACAACGTTTTAGCATCCCTGAATACCTGCAGAGGATAGCATGTAGCTACTTCAGCGACAGGGTGCTGACGTACGAAACCAGTCTGTGTTCCAATGCATGCAAGTCTCCGCCCTCATTCCCTCAGGGAATGCACCTCACCGAAATGGTGGAGCTCGCCAACGCGGCCGTGGAGTCGTGGCTTACGGTCGCTGGATTGGACCTGGCAGCGCAGAACACCGAGGCGGTGCTCATATCGAGCCGGAAATCTGTCGAAACAACTTGGTTGCAGGTCGGTGGCACAAGTACCTGGGGGTGCTCATCGACACTCGCCTCTCCTTCAAGGAACACTTGGAGTATGTGCACAGGAAGGCCAGCGGAACTGCAGGAGCACTCTCGCGAATGCTTGGGAATGTTCTGAACACCAGAGGCCCGAAGCATGCAACGATCCTGACGAGTGTTGTGACGCCGCAGATCCTGTGAAGACCTGCATGCGAGGCGTGGACGCGAAGTACAGGCTGTGTGCCCAAAGGATCGCGTGCTCGTTGCTGACTGTGTCGGACGAAGCAGCGCTGGTCATCGCTGGGGAAGCCCCACACAGGAAGCTGGTAAGGGAGAGACAAGAGACCCACACCGCCGCGCAGGTCGGAAGAGAGGCGACAAGAGCCGAGCTGAAGGCTACCGCAGGGAGGAACAGTATCATCAGATGGCAGACCCAGTGGGACAGTTCACCTAAAGGGCGCTGGACTTATTCCCTCATCCCGAAGCTGCAAGCCTGGATCAAGAGGAAGCACGGACAGGTACATTTCTACCTCACCCAGGCGAGAGCATGGGAAGCGGGAAAAACCTATATTCCAAGAAAAATCCATCAACTTCACCTTTCAGGTGAAGATTGAAAGAGATTGCCACAAATGGTGAGTTGACCTGCAATTGCTTGCTAGCCCTGGCTGCCCGGCCCAACTGGCATGACCGACCGGACCGGCACTTTAACCTCAAATTACTAACCTACAAAACATATCTCGCAGGATTCCCGACAGCAACAAGCCGCCCGCTATGCGACACCCAACCTTCTCGTGAAGCCCGTTCCATTCGGTGCCCGTCGCTCTCGAGAAATTCGAGACGTCGGCATCAAGGGCTTCATGATCCTGCTGGAGGGAATCAATCCGGGAACTTCAAAGATATCCAACACCTTGCCCTATGCCGATTACAGCAATGTGAAGCCCCTGGAAGTGTACATCAGTGTGCTGGCCAATATAATTATCGAGCCTTCTGAGGCGACGATCCTGAACAAAGACTCGATTAGCTTCCGTATTCTTCTTCCATTTGCGACATTACCAAAAGTAAGCAATATTTCCTCGAGGTGGAGGATACCGAGGTGGCCAGTTTGCGAGGTAGCATCGCAACCGGAAAAAAAGGGCGCAAAAAAGTGGACAGCGAAATGTTTTTGTTTTCCTTTTTTTGTCACACTGCTGAAACTCCCTGCCTATCGATCGCCTATGCATTGTATAATGTTGCATTTTTAGCATAATTGTATATAGTTAATAATATAATACGTGAACAATAATGCGCACCTCTTTCACGGATCCAACACATTATAGTAGAGCTCTACTTGCGTTTTGCTCGCATCGGATTTGAGTGCTTTTTGCCCATATTTGGTCTATTTGGATAGTTATTCAATAACAAATCTCATTACTGACTAAGCGTCGAAAGTGGAGTGCAGCAAAGGCAACCGAAAATCATAGACAAGGTAAGATAAGGTCAATGTAACAATGGTGTTTCGGCAGTGCAAAAATTATGGGGGGTTTGTAATAGAGTGCGAAGTGGATACAACAACAATGGTGCCGAGGGCGTCTGCCCGTATGATGCCACCGCAAGAACTGGCAATGTGTTACGAACCTGTTTTGGTGTTGGGGCAAGGCTGGCTAGCCAGTCATCCCAGGGCTGAGTTCTTCCCAGGCCCCAAGTCGCATTTTCTAAACTAAGGTAATGATAAATGTTAAAAACAATTTTTTCAAGGGATAATTCGGGGGATATTAAATGGTACAAGTAATTATAATTATTGCATAACACCCGAAAAGGTTCATGCTGGGAGTAATTTGATCTACATATGTATGGATAATCGAATGGGGCGGAAAGTAAGGGTTGGTCTGTAATGAACCGAAAAATCGATTCAACCCAAATTCGTTTGGGAGTCCACAATCCCGAGAATGAGCTTATGCATGAATACCACCCCATTGCAAATTCTGCGATAGTGTAAAGAGGGTTGGTCCAGCAGTTTTAGCCTAGATAGGTATGGATAGTTTCAAAGGGCGAATATTAAAAATTGGTTTTTGAACGGATTCAATAATAATTTGTTGCTCCTTGTATTGTGGACTCCACACACAAGAACAATACTCCAATATCGGGCGAACCAACGAGGCGTACAGTGTTTTTGTTGTATACGGATCGTCGCCCTCTTTTGACCAACACTATACAAGTACCAGTCGGAAAAGGAACGAAAGGGACGTGTGAGACGCTTCTTACGCGTCACAACTTTTATACCCGGTACTCATTTTTGAAATACACTTGTAACAGTGTGAGCATACAGTAGTCTGGTTGCAAAATTTGGTGGCTCTAGCTCTGAGATCCAGGCGCTCAACAAGACGGACGGACAGACGGACAAAGGGACGGACGGACGGACAGACAGACATGGCTATATCGACTCGGCTATTGATGCTGATCAAGAGTATATATACTTTGTGGGGTCGGAAACGTTTCCTTCATTACCTTCATTACATACATCCACTTTGTGCACAAATACAATATACCCTATTTACTCTTCGAGTACCGGGTATAAAAACACATTTTAATGTCATCAGCACACATTACACTGAGTGCAAAATAACTTGGGGCAGGTCGTTCACACACTAATTGAAAAGGAACTCCAGAGGTTACTTTCACAACATTTTCGACATGACATTGTTATTATATTGATAGGTACGATGATATCCAATTTATAAGGTTTGTGGGAAAACCTAATAAAGAGAGTTTATGGATCAGCAAAGTATGATTAACAGAGTCAAAAGCTTTGCTGAAGTCTGTAAAAATGACGTCAGTCGGTTAATTAGAGACGAGAATTGTAAAATGTTGATCGATATCTAAAAAACCATGTTGAGACGGGGATATAGCAAGTAACAAGGGGCTCGAGCAACTTCGGAATTGCAGATAGTTTAGCTATACCAAGATAGTTTTCGATATTAGATCTGGACCCTTTCTTGTGAAGAGGAATAAGGTAGGTTTCATTCAAGATCATGGGGAGGCAAGAACGCTCCAGGGTTAAATTAAATATTTTTAAAAACAGCTCGGAACTTTATCTGGACCCGCAGAGAAACAGATGTCAATTTATGTACTTTCTTCAAGGAAGGGAAGAAACGCGTTATTAACATGAAGTAGTTGGTATTGATAAGGGGTGAAGGAGTCATAATTATCCGAAGAGTACGTCAATTGGAAGAAGGTGGCAAATGAATTTTGCAATTCCTTGATCTGAAGTTTCTGTTTTAGACTGTAACTGAAGGGAAGAAGGGAACGCATTAGACTTGCGTTTTGAGTTGACGAACGAAAATAACTTTTTGGGATAATTACGGAAATTTGTGGCACATTGGGAATGATATAGGTTACAACATTTATTATTGACCGTAAGAAATTGAGAGCGAACCGAAAAATATTGAGCAAAGACAGACAAAGAAAAAGATATCTAGTACTTAGACAGATACTTGAAAAACCACGGAGCTTAGAGGAAACAAATACGTTGACTTCAGGGACGTAGGTATCGAGGGCAGAGTATAATGTTTCGTAAAACAAATTGACAGTAGGCTCTATATGTGATGAGGACTGACGAAAAAATAACCAATCAACTTGCTAATGATGTAGACAAAGATCGATAAAATTAGATTTGCGAAAACACTATACGACTTTTTGAAGGTAAAATGGTGTTATGAATGGAGATCTCGAAAAGTATAGACAAAGTAGGATGATGCGGATCTGACAGAGTTAATTTGGGCAAGCGAGACGTTAGTTACCCCCTCAACGCAATCATGTTGACTTCCAGGTAGTAAAATGTTGGATTCATCCTGTTGCCAAGATAGAGATGGGATGTTGAAGTCACCCATGACTACTATCTGATCAGCACAGCCTAAAGCAAAAACTAAAGATCGAATGGCTGAGAGGTGGTTCAAATAAACAACGGCATCAGATCTGGGAGAGATATACATATACGGCATATTCCAATACGGATTCTGACTGCAACGAATTCGATAAAATGGATGTTGTTAAATAGAAACAGCTTGGACGCAAATGCCGTTTTCACTGCAAAAAGAACCCCACCAGAGAATGATGGACGATCCATTCTATAAGTGGTGAACTTGTGGACGAAAATTTCGTGATCGGAGACAGAGGAGTTAAGCCAGGTTTCAGTTATCGCTATAGGGTCGAATTCAAAAGAGGCACTGTCCGTATGAATTGTAGACAATTTACCTAAAAGCCTGCTTACGTTCTGATATTGGACGGAGAAATGGTTCCTCAGTTTTTTTAAATCTTAGGGACAGTAACTCGAGATGAGATATTACGCTTATGTGTACTCTAATGAATCCAACGAGCGTGTTAGCTTGCGAATAGCGAACGACCTACCTTGGTAGGTAGGTCAGCTGTGAATAAGCGGGCATCCCAAAGAATCTCAGCACAGTTGTCTCTGAGGGAGAGTACCGAAATAAACAGCCCGGACAGCCAGCGGTTGTTCGCGAAGTAGCAACACTGACGATGCGCTTGTGGTGCCGCCTCGTATAAGTAGCTCACACACTTTCCCTCCCCACACAAAACCTATCCTCAAAAACCGGGCCGGACTAAGGTGTCATTCGACCCGTGCCGAGAGTCAGTCTGGCTGGGGGCCCGGTATAAAAACTAGCCCAGTCGTGAACGGAGAGCTCAGGGAAATGGCAGCCCCCTGTTCTAATGATGCCTTACCTGGGAAACGTGGAACTCCTCCCGGGCTGACCATTCCTCTTCTCTGCATCTCGTGGGATCAAGATGTATAAAAGTAATAATATTAAAGAAAAAAACGAAAAAAAAACAAATGAGAAAGACACTCCCCAAACGTCTGAAGGGAGCAATCCCAAACATTGAAAGGCAGCGGCCCAAAGGCCTGGCCTAACCCGCTCGATAGCAGGAAAACCCTGTCCGGTGGACAGCGAGGTTGCGAGCCCGTTGGGGCCCCACTCCAATTCTGGGGTGGGTGGCACAGCACCACCCAATACTGACGCCTTGGAAAGGCAGCTAAGCAACATTGTGGCTGCCCGTTCTTCTGGCAAAGTAGAGGGGGAGGCTGGGCCATCGACCAGGGCCGAAGCTAAACGGTTCACATACGCCGAAAAGAGGACTTCAGGGCACATACTCCGTCGGAAGTACGTGAGCTCGGAAGCAAGTCCTTCAGAGGACTGGCTAAAGAAGGTAAAGTGGGCCTCGGAAGTGCTTCCGAACTTTAATCTGGAACCTCACAGACCGCCCCAGCAACCCAAAAGCTGCAAAGCGATCCAGGATATTGCCAAATGTGTCCTTCCCGCATATTGCCAAGGAGAGGACGCTGATAGGCGTGGATGGCGCGGATGGAAGAATCCCGAGGAACCGGTGGAAGTAGGTGGAAGCGGCATTGGCCGACCGCTGCTTCGAGCTCCTGGACAAGGACCCCGGCCCACCTCCAGTCTTCAAAGACATGGGATGGTTCCAGGCAATACCAAAATCATAGCCTGCGAAGACGAACGCTCTGGGTGCCGGCCTCCATAAAAGAGCCAGAACGCATCCTGCAAATGTTGCAGCGATGCAACCCAAACTTTCCAACAGCAGGGCCCCACAAACGAAGCCGTGGTCGTGATAAACAAGGAGTCGCTGGCCCCGATTCAGGGTTCAGGGTTCAGCTCCGTCACCATAAAGGTGTATAAGTCGGATGCAGCGGCCGGGGCGCGTCCTGTCAACAACCCAGTCAAGCAGGATGTTGGCTCGGAGATCGAAGTCCAACGAGCTGGAGTTGGCCCACGAAGGTGACTCCCTAGAGTCGGAGCTGATGCTGGAGTTCGAGGCAATGTGCCGAAACGAAAGCTCCGGCGAGTCGGACGCCGACAATACAGGATCTCTCTGATGCTCCTTTAGATAAATCTCCACCACTGTAAAGCAGCAACTGCTGCCCTCTTACTACTACTGGAATCGAGCGGAGGCGACGTAGTCCTAATCCATTAGCCTTGGGTGGTTGGAGACAAGGTCTGTGGATTAGCGACGAAGGACTACAAGCTGATTGTAGCACCAAAGAAAGGTACAATTCGCACCTGCATTTTAGCTAGAAAGCACATGAACATCTTTCAGCTCCACAA